ATAAACAATATAATGTACACGTATGTATAACGTAACACAATCATGCCGATTACATCATCTTTCCTTGCCGAATATAAAAATGTAGCAAGTACATTCTTGTGAATTACAGTATATTAAAACTGTCACAGCAGGAACACATATAATTACCGTATCTCTAAAACTTGAACTAATATTGAAAAAATAAATTTAATTCCGGTTTTAGCACATTAAAAATAGTAATATTTTGTTGATTTTATTCAGGATATTTTTTGGCTGTTGATCAGTGTTATTAACAAAACTTTCTCAATTAAGGGGTAGTGTTAGTATGGTACCATAATGATCGGTTATAGTTGATTTTACTATGAAGCCAGTGCATTTATCAATTTCTTCTAATCTACTTTTAAGAAAAATGTGGTCAGCAAAAGGCCGATTTGTCAGCTTTCCTAGTAAATGACGCTTTACTGTTGAATCTTGAAGTTACTATCTCTTGAACTTAAATAATGTAGAAAAACCTCAATGCGACTAGAATTTTGGATTTATAAACGTGACATTGCGTCAATGTAACAGTTTGAAGGTACAAACTCTTCAAATATTAGGTACAATAAATTGTGGCTAAACCTTAAAGGAAGCCCGAACGCTACGCCAACTTATGGCAAATGCGTGTAAGTATATTTTTATGTTTTAACATTGATGAAAGAGCTTTAGGGCAACTGTAACAATAATAAACAGCGTATGCGCGTTTTTAATCATTGGACGTGGATTTGAGAAATACTATCTTTAGCCCACGTAACTTGATGACGCATAGTAAATACAACGTCAGAAAGCTTAACGTATACGGTATTGAAAGAATATCTATGAACATAAAATATTGAAATTCTGAGGTTCACAGTTTTTAATTCAGCTTGGACTATTTATACACGTCGTTCATTTTATAAATAGTAAGACAATTAGATGTAGTTGCCAATTTTTTCTCTCAAAAATACTGAATTTGGGATATTGAGCGGATTTCTCATGTCCGTGGTTTATTTAGATTTTACTCGTATTACATTATTTTGGTGAATACAATTACTAGATTTAATTAAAATATTATACAGAGCCTCGCAACTCTGCATGGATATTAATGATCCCACACAAAATAGGGTAGATTTAGAGGTAGATGAACCATTAATATGGGGCAGTGTTGTCAGTTTCTTCATTTGTCTGCGGGACTGTTGTGAGAACTAAGGAAGAAGTTTATACTCTATCCAAGTATTGTGTAATACACATTTCTGATAGGTGTGAAATGAAAGTTTAAGTGTTACAATTTTATAAAACGGATAAGCTATACAGGGTGATTCACAAGTCGTGACCAAAAATGAAACATCATACACATACTTAGGTAAATCCACATACCAAATTTCAGATCATTCCAGTTGACGGTTTTAAAGATATTAAAAAAAATGATTTTTATTTTCAAACTTCAAAAACCCGTATCTTTTTAATGAAGCCATTGAGAAACAAATGATTCATAGACGACCCCTCTAAAATGCAATCCCGCGTATAATGTATTATTTTTGGTCACGACTTGTGAGTCACCCTGTATATTTTTAGATTAAAAAGCGAATCAATATTATTTCATTCATCTGACTCCCAATTTTCTATTTTGCGTTTTATTATCTAACTCCTTCAATATTGAAATATCTGTATTCTGTTTATACACGTAATAAAATACTTCTCTATGCACGCCATCAATGGAGCTTAAATGACAAAATCGCACAGCAACAGTATATCACGCGAACCATTTGTTCTGATAGAATATATCATGCTTATTGTAAATAAACATATAAATACGAGCCCCTTCCCACTTCAGTTGGCCCACTATTTTCTCAAAAACATTTTAGATACACTCTAGTCGTAAAAAATACATACTTTAAATCACTTAGACCTATAACTAATAGAACATCTGAACAAATAAACAATGTGCGAATAAATGCGCGAAGTTAACAAAGCAACAACTGAAAGATTACCATTGGGTAACATCACCTTTATTTTTTGTTACGGCTGAAATTCTTTGGGGCATAGTGTTAACCAAGTTTTGGCAAAAATTTGGTGTAAAACAATCCCATATGTCTTGAAGCTTTTATCTCAGTTCGGTGATTGTACGAGCAGGATGTTGTCGTAGAACCTTTTTCATATCCTGCCACAAAGTTTCAATAGGTGACAGATCTGGACTGCTAGAAACCCATTTCAAAAGAGGTACTTTATTTTCTTCCATCCATGTTATAGCCTTTTTTGGCACGCTGCACCATCTTGCTGAAACACAAAACCTTGGCCGGATGTCAAACATTCTCCCATCACTGGTAAAAGCGATTCTTCTAAAATTGGCAAATATTTGTTTGTATCCACATTTCCATCATTAAAATTAAAACATGGAATGCTTCATTTTTTTGCGAATAACTCTACTGCGACTGTCACCAACACAAACTTCGAATCGGGCCTCATCACTCCATTGTATTGCACACCATTAATGAGGTGTCCATTGTCTATGTTCTTTAGCCCATCTAAGCCGATTTTTCTTTTGCAGTGGAGTTAATAGTGGCTTTTCTTTGGCCTATAAACAAGTTGTGCAACTTTAGGGTTTTTACTTCACTTTCTTGCAAGTGCTAAATCCCAGTTTGTGGGGCTCTCTATGAGTTGTGGACCTCGAAATTCTCCTTCCAACAGCATCACTCCAGAGAGCACTTGGCACGCCTGTTTTTCACGATTATTCTTCTTAATGCTCTTCGGTCGGCATTTGTGATATTACTTTTTTCACATATCGCGGCTTAATATTAACTGAACCACTTCTTACAATATTTCTCAAACTGCACCGCGATAAGTCTAACAAAGTTACAATTTCTGAGTTTGATTTCCCAGAATTAAAAAATTTAATTATCAGTAACCGAATTTTCTCACTCATAACCTTTCCTCTACCCATTTTGAAAACCTTAACTACCCAAAACTATTTTAAACGTATTCTGACAGCTGTGATTAATAAAAACAATTGTCATGGCTTTTATTTTTCACAGCCACCTATGCGTTATAGACTTATTTTGCATTGAAATGAAAATAGGTTGATATGCTGTAATTGCAACATGTGTTATTTTTATGCTGCAAATTTGATTGGGGAGTGATAAAGTTGGTGTTTTGTACTATATATTAACAATATATTCATTGTTAATATTTTAAACCTATAGCACCCTGCTACATTTTTATTATTTGTGTTTGATAAGAAAAAAAACTAATATTTCAATAGTTGGAGCAACTGAAGTGGGAAGGAGCTCGTATATCTTGAACTGCTTAATGGACTAGACTACACCCGCGGTTCCGATCGTGTGAAGTATGTAAGTCAATCGTTTCGCATTGAATGAACATTTTTTATCCAACATTTCAATGTAACAATAAATTAATTTCAATGCTTTGGTTTTTTATATCCTCGACAAGAAGGAAGGAGTTTACTTGAAAAAATATCTGATATTAAAATGAATTTGAAAGTCATGGTTAGGTTCCTTGTCAAAAAGGTCACAGTCAATGTACGTATATTTGAACATGAAGTTTCTTGCTCTTTTTATTTCCGGTGTCAAATATAGAGGTTTTCATTTAAGAAATCTGTCTTGACCTTCAAATGAGCTTGAAGGTCGTAGTCGTGGTCACCTTCAAGGGCACCTTTAAAATCTTACAGCTTTATTGTACCACATTTTAGATGATCATGAGACGTATTTTTTGGGACATCATTAGAAGACCTGCGACAAAGAATTGTGAATGAGTACAATCAAATTACTCCTCAAATATTGCAAAATGTGCGGCGACGTTTTGAGCAAAATCTTTATTTAACAACATTTACTTGCCTAACGGGTCAGTTCATCCTTCAGTTTTAATTTACTTTGCTGCCAAATGTATTGATCTCCACTAATGATGATGTATTAGTTTTATTTAAACTTTAAATCAATAAGTCTTCAAAACCACCGAACTGATGTACATATGTATGTATATCATTATAAAGGGAAATGAAAGACCTTTAAAATAAGGTATCACTCGACCCCCCTTTCCATTTAAGATTTTGGGGGTGGTGTCACCCCCGCTTAGGGGGCTGCACGTGCTAACGTGATTTTTTGCCAAACTTGTGTCCCCCTCGAAAACAAAATCGACGGGTCTGAGCGTTATTCAAAAAAAAACTGAGCTGCCAGTATATGCGTCTGTTTCGTTTTCGATGCGCCATCCATATAAAATAGATTTAGAATAATAGAGTTATAGTACAAAAAAAATTCTTTTTCATTAGTTTGGTCACTTGTGCCTCATTTACATTAATGTGCGCTGAGGTGTTCTTCAAAAATACTTTTTTTATATTTTATTTTAAACTGGTTTGGATGCAGGATTTTAAAGTCATTATTAATTTGTAAAGCCGGTAAATGTTGTATGAGAAAGATCTACAAAAAAGAGAAGTTTGATGAGGGGGAGGTGATATGTAGGCCCGAAACCGCAAATTCAAGTTATGAACATCGGTGTGAAAAGTTATTCTATTGAATAAATATGGTGGTTGCTTAAAAAACATAATTTTGTGAAAAAGATTACATGCATGCGACTCACATCGACATCGCATATTCAACCAGTTTGCATCGAGCAACTTATGTGAAACTCTTTCAAACTTACGTATACCATACATAACACTTTGACTGCCGAGCAGGTTGAAGCAGTTTTTCCACCTAGGCCATGGTGTTATTTCTTAATTACTTAATACACCTAGAATTTAACTGTATGCATTTTTCAATATGACGTTGTGTTTTTTTCAGCAATTTCAGGAGTGTATCTCTAACGATACACGCGGCCTGTCCGAATTTTTTTACCACAGGCCGTGTGTATCCCTAGTGATACACCGAAATAATGTATAGATTTTTGTTTCAGGTAGACGTTTTGCGACAAAAAGTGCAAAAAGACTAATAAAAAATTAAAGTGGACTTTACTACTTAGTGATGGTGTTATAACTGTGAGTGACTGTAAAGACAATGGCTAGAAAATATCTTTCAGACGAAGAATTACAACAATATATAGTGAACATAAGTGACGAAGAGTCTTTGGATTCAAAGGATGAACCTGATTATAATGCCTCGGCAACTGATACCAGCGACAGTGATAGTGAAAATTCGACGCCAAGACATAATGTCACTGCTCCAGGAGCATCTGCAAGCCCTCCGGATAGTTCCCCAAAGCCAGCAACATCTGGAACTTCACCAAACAGATCACCAGCTCAAGGAATATCTGGATCCCCCCAAAACATATCCCCTGTGTCAGCTGGAACTGCAACTGCAGTAGATAGTTTTGAAGATATTTGGAGTGACCCGGCCGGAAAACAGCAGCACTTCAATTTCAATGCTGAATGTGGTATGGATCCAACGATCTCAGGAATATTGGCATTAACTGAACCAATCGATTATTTTTCGTTATTTTTTAACCACGAAATAATAAATATCATGGTAAATCAAACTAACTTGTTTGCCACACAGTATCTTGAACGTGCAAATGATGTCCCAAGTTCTTCACGTCTGCATGACTGGATGCCAACTGATGCAAACGAAATGAAACAGTTTGTGGGTTTGCTTGGATGGATGAGCGTGGTGAAAGTCCCCGAACTTCCCGATTATTGGTCTCAAAATCCATTGTTTTCATTTCCATTATCAAAAAACACCATGCCACGCAATCGTTTTGAGCTTTTACTGAGATTTTGGCATTTTGCTAATAACGACGAAGCAACACCAGGAGATCGCACGCATAAAATAAATGCAATTTTTAATGAGTTTATAAAAAATTTCAAAAATGCTTACACTCCAGGTGAAACCATATGCATATAGTCAACGCCAAACAAAGTGGCGTGCACGTCATCAAGGTGGGTGTGTTGAAAAATTTACATTGTTGCCAAACTTTTTGTAAAATAATAAAATTTATTATTTACATATCTAGGTTTATAAGCAATATTAACCTCAAATGAGAACAAAAATAATAGTATAATAAAATTATAGATCTGTACTTGCATAATCATTAAGTATGACAATTATTGATCAGATGACACTATGAAACTACCATATTTAATTGATAGCTTAAAGGTACTGAATAAAAATCCAAATGGGGTCCTCCAAATTTTATGCATGGTATTCAGCGCTGTCTGAATCTGAATCTTCATCACTCTCAAAGTTGATTATTAAAGGTTCGATGTCTGGTCGATCAAAAATTCGTTCTCTTTCATACCATTTAAAAATTTCTTGCTCAGTATGTCGAACACTATTTTTCCACATGTCTGGGGTAACCGTTTGTAGAGCCTCGTTCCACATATCCAAACAGTCTTTTTCACTGTTACCATCTCTACCAATATGTCTGTTATAGTAACCTTTTGCTATGCCCCAAATTAACTCAATAGGGTTAAATATACAATGGTAAGGAGGCAGACGAAGAACTTTGTGCCCATGTTGTTCCGCCAATTCATCAATCACGTATATTTTAGGTGGTTTGTTTCTAAAAAAGCAGTTATTTTAAGAATAGGAATAAACAAAAGAAATATAAACTGTCGACCAAAATATATATAATTAAGAAGCATTATGTACCGAGCAACAATACTCAATAGCTCTGTTTTAAACATTGTGTTTAAAAATGGTATGTTTTGATTTGTCAACCAGTCTTGGATATTTTTTTTTGTCAATGCATTGTTGGGCACTTTGTTCAATATCATGCTGTGATAAGGGGCGTTATCCAGTATAATCATAGATGGACTCTCCAATTTATCTAATAACTGATGTTGAAACCATTTCAAAAAATTGTCCTGGTTCATCTTTCCATGGTAATCGCTCAATTTTGTTTTCGAAGAAAATATCGTTTCACTACCCTCAATAAACCCATTTTCATTTCCAGCATGTAATATAATGTATCTAAAATATATTAGTTTTAAATTTTATAGTGCAAATTGTGTAAAAGTACATACCTTTTACCATCTGTTTTAATAGCTTTCACGCTTTTTTGGTTTCCATTTTGCCAAGAGCGACCTATGGTCCCATTTTGAAATATCCAAGTTTCATCGAGGAAGACAAACTGGTATAAGGCCTCAACCTTGGCTTGATTGTATTGCCTTAGAAATTCCACCCTTTTCAAAGCTATACTTGGTAGTTCCATGAGCCCTCGTCGCGGATTGTCCTTAAGCCACTTAAATCCAAGATCTCTAAGCAACCGCCTTAAAGACGTGGCACTACCATCAAATAATGCCCTATCTCTTAATCGAGACCATAAAGTTTGTATCGTAACTTGTTCTTCTGAAACCATGTGTAATATGACATTATAGTTTAGTTAACAAATTAATGCAAATTTCTGATAAGTTATTATAATAAGATCTTACTTTTGTGATACATATTATAGATCACTTCTCGAATGGCACTTGTATCCAATGTCGCTGTGTTGGTTACACGTTTAATATAACTCCGCTTTTTCTTGGGCGATTCTAAATTTGCATCACTTTTCACACCCTCGGAAATACGACTAACTGTCCTTAAACTAATTTTTAAAGCAGCAGCAACACGCTACAAAAAATGAAATAAAATTTCACTATTATTAATATACATTACATATAATTATTAGTAACCTACCTCTTGAACAGCATTTAAAGGCAACAAAGGCCCGTTGTTGTCCCTTTCTTGCTCAAAGTAGTGCATTAACGAGGCCACGAGTTCCTTACACCGACTATTTAACTGTTTGGGCATCTTTATATACCAAAATTGCCTTTATCTACTCGTAAAATGAATAATTTTGTTTTGAAACAAACAGTTGTTGATTTACAGTATGCGGGGCCAAAGGATTTATAAAGATTTGAAATGCCACAAATTGATTCAGTGTCAAAATTAATACAAATGTCAGTTCCCAGTTTAAATAAGTTTCAAGGTGACAATGTGTCAACGCTGCGAAATCGGTTTAGTGCGTTTACATGTCGATAAGTGATTGGAGCGTTTGCAAAACATTTTATTTCGCATAATGCGTCTAAATTTATCAGAAAGCAACTTATGTGATATTTTAATAACAATGTTTATATGACTATTAACCATAATAAGAGAGTAATTACCATTTTACAATTTATATATCACATTAATATGAAACTGCAATAGAGCAATTGTTTGTGATAGAAACCTAGGCATTAGGTCGGGAATTTTTATCGTGATGACGTGCACGCCACTTTGTTTGGCGTTGACTATAGATGAGACGATGATACCCTTTAGAGGACGGCTAAGCTTCCGTCAATATATTCCGTCGAAAAGACACCGTTATGGAATAAAATTGTATAAACTATGCACTGAAAATGGCTACACTTGGAACGCCAGCATTTACATGGGTAAAGATCAAACGACTGATAAGACGAGGTTAGCTTCATACGATGTCGTTATGAATCTTATTGAGGATCTTCTCAATCAGGGAAGAACATTGTATGTGGATAATTTTTATACTAGTCTGCCTTTAGCTTATAGATTACTTGAGTTACAAACACACTTAGTAGGCACAATGCGTGCCAACCGGAAATATATTCCGAAAGCAATTCAAGGTGCCAAACTACGCAAAGGTGAAATAATAGCGAAAGAGTCACCGGAAGGGGTGACAATTATAAAATGGCGGGACCAAAGAGATGTACGAATGTTGTCTACTTGCCATTTGGGTACCGAGACCATTGTTACTACGTCTAGACGTCAAACAGAAAACGTAAAACCTAAATGCATAGTAGATTATGACAAAGGAAAGGCTTCAGTTGACGTAAGCGAACAACTAGCGTCCTATAATACAGCTCTAAGACGCTGTAACAAATGGTACAGAAAAGTCATTATTGAGATTTTGTGGGGTACATCTCTTGTGAATGCATATTTTTTGTATACAAAAAATAATGTCAATGGCAGAGATTTGAACATCACGCAATTTCGACAAAAAGTAATTCTTTCATTGTTGGAAGGTAAAAAAAATACTACTGGTAGTAAAAGAAAACATGTATCCCACCACTTAGTTACCCACGCAGAAAAAAAGAGGGCCAGGTGTGCAAAATGCTATGAAATGTATGGGAAGAAAGGCAAAATCGTAGATGGAAAGAAAACAATGGCATCACAAGTTATTACTATTTGTGACACTTGTGAAGGAAATCCCCACTTGTGTCGGGATTGTTTCAATGCCAAACATTAATCGTGTTTCAAATCATTGTTTGAGTTATTTTATTTATCACAAAAATATCGTTAGAGTTGAGGCGTTATTTTTTTCAATATTAGTTTTGTATCAGAAAAATGAGTTGCGTTTCAAGTTTATTTTTTTCCTTGTAAAATCCTTGTAATTACCTTTATAATACGTTTTATAATAAAAAGATTTTAACCAACATATCTATTCTGCGTTTTTTTAACCCATTTGCAACATGTCACATTTCAACCAGTCATATATTTTTGACGTAAGCCTCAGGCCAAAACTATGTATACCATTAAATTTGTACAGGCCAAGCCTATAAAATTCCAATATAAAACTAATGGCATGGTGCTCCCTAGCGATACACCACCGTAATAACAATGCTGTTGTAAATTGTAGGCAGGACTTCTGTACACGTTCAATTCTATCCATGTCAATCTTGCCTAAACAAAACCCATAAACGCTGTTACAAAAATTAAAATGGCTGAGTACTAGTACTTCACAAAGCAATATTTTAAGTTTAACAGGGAGGACATAGCGATGAGCATATAGAGCTTTTGGAGTAGCATAATCTTTTTGTATACATTTACTAATATGAGGCTTAAATCTTAGATATGAGTCAAATGCTACTCCCAAATTTCTCACAGTCGCAGAACAAGGTATAGATTCACTTTTTATTTAGGCATGAAAAGTGCGCTCAATATTGTCTTTCAATCTGCCAAATAACATGAGTTGTGATTTGCTTGCATTAATCTGTAGAACATGATTTTCCGAAAATACAACTAAATTTTCAAAATCTCGATTAATAATGGCCAATGCATTGACAGAAAAATAAAGCTGAGTATCGTCAGCATACAACTTCGGAGACATTGGAAAAAGTTTGAGATATAAATACTAAAAATCAGAGGTCCTAAAATGGAGCCTTGAGGAATACCCGATGGGATGACATCTTTGGAGGACATACCTTTATCTGTTTCTACAAATTGTGTTCTGTTAGTTAATTAGTGGCACATAAGCGTGATAGCAGGTTCGGAAAACCCTATATAGTGTGATTTAGTTTATCAAATGCCTTGGAGTAGTCCAAGAGCACTAGAGCGGTGGTTTTTCCGGAATCTGTTGCTTTGAAGATATCGCCAGTTATATTTAACAGTGCAGTTTCGCAGCTGAATCCTTTCCTAAATCCCGATTGATGGTCTGCTAACAAATTGTCTCAGTTAAATAATCTCTTATTTGTTGGTCCAATATAATCTCCATTAGTTCTGATAGCACTGGTAAAATACTTATGTGGGATCATTGTAGTCATTAATTTCGGACTTATTTGATATTGGTATAATTTTGCCAATTTTCTGGAAATTTTCTATCTAAAATACAGAAGTTTATTATATTTGTAATGTAGGGGATGATTTTATGGGAACACAATAAGATCATTCCACGATTTAGACCATCAGCACCTATGGCAGACGATTTAATTCTGAGAAGTGCATTTTTAACGACATCCTGGGAAACTGTGTGAAATTCAAAAAGATTGTTGACGTTAGTACGCCTATTGCTATAATAGTAATCCAAAGTGTCATAGTCTATTGATGAGCTTGCTCGAGAGATCTGAAGAAAATTGTTATTTATGTCATCCGGATTATTCAGCTGATCGGGAATACAACCTGTTTTT